AATATGGCAGGGAATGTGTTTACTTTTTTAGTTTTGATTTTGAGCAGCAAATTTGGAGTTACATATTGGTGCTCACCAGGAATGCAGAGGCAAAATTGCACAAATTTTCACTTGAAAGAATAGTGGCGATCTTGGGATTTTTTTCTGTTCAATTTTCAAACTGTGTAAATTTAATACACTTCATCTTCAGCATGTTTAGTGCCACTTTTGTAAGTAACCACGCCCCCGTCCCGGCCACGCCCCCGTCCAGGCCACGCCCCTTCCGCTATTTTCATCACTCGCCATTGCCATGTATGGAAAACCCACGCAGACACAGGGAGAACATGCAAACTCCACACAGGAAGGCAGGAGCCGGAATCGAACCCGGGCACCTCTGAACTGTGAGGTGGGACATGCTAACCATTCGATCACCATGCCATTACTACCAAACTCAGTATAATTGTAGTATTATCATTTTAATTATAACTTGTAGTTTCGAATTCTGTGATATTTTAACTTGTTAAAAATGTTGTAAAGTACGTTAAATACTGTGTAACATACCCAAAATGAAAGCCATCTCAACCAACTGTTTGTATTTTTTATTTTACCATGGTGTGGACCATGTCAAATGAAAGCTACATTGATAGTACCCATCATTTGCATATCAGAAAATTTGTGCCTCAACCAATGAATCATTATTCCTGCAAATGCTGCAACATTAGAAAGCACAAAAATATTACGACATGATGCCATTTTACATTCAACACCGTGTCGATATAGAGTTGTGCTGCCGGTGGTCTCTTCATGGTCGCAAAGGGCAACATAGCTCCTTTATGCTGCCTTTTTTCTCATAAAACCATGAAGATGCAAGTAACGGCGGACCCCAATTTTCTGAATGTATGCCTTCCGGTAATTTGGGAATGGGGGGGGAATAAGAGGCCAAGTCTGCTTTATACCACAACCTGTCTTTAATAACTAGTTCAGGATAATGTGATACTTGGTAGAGGGGTCAGACAGCAGAAGCCAACAGGGTTTAAGGTTACTCTACCCCAATCAACTTCATGTCTTGCTGACATGTCCCCCAGTTTAAAATGATATACACCGATGTAGGAAGTAGGCTGGCAAAGTGCCCCTGGCATCAGGGCACCCAGATGGACGTGGCTTGACCATGATCAAAGCTCAGACATTGTCCTCCATCACCCTGAAGGACACAACTGCAAGTGTCTTGATTTCATCTCTCCATAAATGCCCTCCTTGTCCCTGTGTTGACAATCCTGTTTTAACTTGAAATTAACCAGCAAAAAAATCATGGATTAACCTGCATTATGATTCTGCAAACTGCTGTCAGCTAAAAATGGGGAGGTAGACATTTCTCTCAATCAGTATGGGCCGACGCACACCACTGTTATCAAAGAATCACACTGATGTCTGGTCAGACTTTTGGTTTAACAGTACAGCTGCAAGGAGCTATAAAGGGCCCTCGCAAGCCTCGCCACATCACAGTACTTGTGCATTGGGGTACTGGAACATCGGACAATAACGCCCTAAACTGTTGATTTTTTTTAGGCCAGACCAGATGTGTGTGCAAAGTGTCATGAGATTTCGCCTAGATTTAGACCATCAAAAAGAGCATAATTTTTATTTGCAAACAACACATCGCCACAGCAACAGCATGCAACAAACTAAATCGCTTTCAATAAATTTTCGTCTTAAATATCTTGAGATGAAACACCCAAAGTTTGAAGACGGTATAAATTCTCAAGGATTCAATTCTCAATTCTGCTCTCGATAACAGGCCCCAAAAATGGCAATAAATTCAAAAGCAAATCAAAATGGCAGACATACTGTGAGGTTGAGCATACTGTATGCCTCCGAAATACTTTTTTTGTATGTCGTGGACTGTTACATCTGCCTCCTAACTTTCCAATCTCGATGTGAAACCGACAACAAAGAATACTTCCGCCCCTGTCAAATAGTAATTTTTTACCCTATTACTGTCCCTTGTCTTGAGATGGTACAGCCCAAGTTTGAAGTCAATCGGATGAACTCTCGAGGACAAGGGCACAAAAGTATGACCCTTGTAAATCGGGCAAAAGTGGAAATTCAAAAATGCAGAGCTCATTTCCTTTTCTTTTTAGATTGTGGCTGCAATGGACTTTTTCGTAGGTCTTGGGGTGGACACGCGCCTCCCATTTTTTGTAGCCCTACCATTAAACGTACTGAGATTGGATTTTGTCCTGGAAGTGGTGCTACAGCTCTTTTGCTAACTATGCATGGCGACTTTAAACAATCAACATTTTTGTCAGTCTTGATGAGTATCCAAAGTTTAGTGTTTTTTTGTGCATGTTTATAGGATCAGAAAAATACGATCCGGTCTGCAAATAAGAATAATAAGAAGAACTGGAACAATCATTTCAACAAAAACAATAAAGACCTCAGGCCCTAATAATAAAAACAACAATCATAATAATTGTTTCCAAAACGATACGGATCTCACAGCTGTTGCTGCTTGGGCCCTAATAATTGCGACTAAAACAACAGGGACCTCACAGCGGATACTGCTCAGGCCCTATCAGTAATAACATTTACAAAAACAATATGAACCGAGCGGTGGTTGCTGTTCGGGCCCAAATAATAATACCGTATTTTCCGCACTAAAAGACGCACTGGATTATGAGGCGCACCTTCAATGAATGGTATTTTGGAAATGTTTTTCATACATTGGATGCGGCGCAATCTACAATGCGTCCACTAGATGGTGCTACGCTCCTTCCATTCAACTCGAGAGGCGTCCGTTCAACTTGAGAGGCGTTCATGACCGCCTCTGAAAAATGTAAATTAACTATTACTGTACTTAAATGAAACTACGAAAATTGAAAATAATGCATCAAAACAGAAAATCAAGTGAGGAAATCACAAAACAAATTCTATATCCCCCCCTAAAGAATTTATTTTGTGATTTCCCCGCTTGATTTTCTTCGTGGTTTCATTGAAGTATTAATTAATTTACGTTTTTCGTAGGCGGCCATGAACGCCTCTCGAGTGGAACGGAAGAAAGCACGGAGACGGACAAAGACGTACAGTACCTGGACTTGCTGAGGTGTGAAAAACCATTAATAAAGTCTGAGTTTAAAAAAAATAATAAAACCACAACCACAACTCTCATTTTTTCAACAAACTCAGGTGTGTCTTTGTCCGTCTCCTTCCCTTCTTTTCTTCCGGTCAACTCGAGAGGCGTTCATGACCTCCTCCGAAAAACCCATTGACATTTCCTTTATCGTAGCTCCAAGAGTACAATCAGATAAGATAAAATAAGAAAACCTTTAATAGTCTCACAATGGAGAAATTCCCACTTCACAGCAGCAAAGTTATGAGAAGAAGAAGTAGACACCAAAGGAATAAATAACTACGACTGACATCTTGTGTTATTTTGACTTCAAGATGGCGCCGTGAGAGTGGCTGCCTTTCAAGCAGCTCCGATTTATTTTGTTCTTCTAATTCTTCCTCTCATAACTGTGCTACTGTGAAGTGGGAATTTCTCCATTGTGAGACTATTAAAGGTTTTCTTATTTTATCTTATCTGATTGTACTCTTGGAGCTACGATTAAGGAAATGCCAATGGGTTTTTCGGAGGCGGTCATGAACGCCTC